GCGTCCGCATCGCCCGCTAAGCAAATGGGACCGAAGAAGTTGCGTGACAAGAGTGGCCGGACTCCTCTTGCGCGGGCGTGTGCCGACCGGAAACATGATCAAGTGATGATGCGCCATGCCGAACGACCGGAAGACATTAATATCCCCGATAATGCAGGCAACACCCCCCTGCAGATCGCATCGCTTGCCGGAGAAGCCGAAATTGTCAAGTTCCTGCTAGACGCAGGCTGCGAGATTAACACTAAAAACATTGACAAAGACACCCCGTTGATTGATGCTGTGGAGAACGGGAATCTGGAGGTGGTCAAACTTCTGCTTGATGCAGGTGCAAACCCACGAACTGTGAATGCCGAAGGTGATGAGCCTTATGAGTTGGTTCCGTCCTTTGACGACGACGATGAGTATGAAGAGATGCGGAAAGCGCTCGCTGACGCCAAGGCTAATTTACGGCCTGGTCGACGCTCTGAGGAAAATACAAGACCAGAGAGCAAGGAACCTTCTTCGCGACGAGCTTCGGCAGTAAGAGGATCGGCGGCTAGCCCCCGAGATTCGCCTCCGATGCGCAGCCCTCCTCCAGTGGGCGCGGGAAATCGACGAAAAGGTGGGCGAAGCGAAGCCACGAGAAATGACCTGCTGTGGACGAAACCCACATTTGAGAACCTTCGAGAGTTTGCTGCCAAAGGCGATGAGGCTGGGGTAGTAAGCATCCTGAATATTTTGCAGAAAGCCGACAATGCTTCCTTGATTGCTGCGGCAAAGGGTGGCCACCACGATGTCCTCTCTCTTTTGTATGCGATGGGAAATGCGGATGCGGATCCAAACCCATTGCGTGGTCAAAAACCGGGTTACAACACGCCTATGCTTGCTGCGATTGGTCGAGGCAACAGTGCTGTTATCCAGCTTATCCTAAACCAACCCGGGTTTAATCCCACGCGACGACTCTTTGAAGAAAGAACATATTTCGAACTGTCTCGGGGTCGACAGGGCGAGAACTGGGAGGATGAGTATCAAATTCTGAAGGAGGCGTATGAGAGGTTTGCAGGTTCTGAGAAGGGTCGCAAAGACGATTCACCCCGCCGTGCTCGTGGGAAAGAGAAGGAGGAGAAACGTCCCCCACGTAGAGGATCTTCCTCCCCCGTCGCGCGCAAGAAGAACAACAGCCCCAACACCAACAGAACTCGCGATTCTTTGAAAGACATGGATTCCATCAAAGAAAAACGTCGTCAAAAAGAAAACGATTTATCTCGACCATCAGATTCATCTAAACCCAAATCTTCGTCATCCGCTAGACGAGACAGTGAGTCGAGTGGGGTGGCACCCAACGAAGACATCCGAAAAAGACGACTCATTGCTGGGCGTCGCCCACAAGAGCGCAGGCCAAGTCTCTTTTCGTCTGATTCGCTCTCTGGACGTGAAGAGGCACCGAAGCCGCGCGTTGACACAGCACCCGACAACACATTGTCCTTGAAGCGCATTCGCGCTGATGGGTCCCCGGAACGGTCTCGTTCGCGTGGCACAGATGGTGATCGCTTATCTCCTGAGTCGCGTAAAAAGAAGAGACGGGTTGTGTCTGAAGATAAGTCTCCTGGTGTTATACATGGCACCCCAAGGCAACCTGATGATGCCAGCAAACCCCATCCTCGCCGACCCCACGAGGAATCTACCCGAGCTGCTGAACCTCAACCACACAAATCCGCCGACACCAGCAAGAAACCTACAACCCGCCCAAGTTCGCCCCGTCATGATCCTGTCAAAAAGAACGGCGACACGAAAAAAGAATCGCATGAGCCCAGAGCCGATCCGATGGAAGACACAATGGCCGTCGCGAAACGGATCGAGCTTGAAGCCCATGAGCGTCGACGAGCCCAGGCCAAGAAGGCGCAAGAGGAGCGTGCCGCGAACGAAAAGCGCATCGCTGACGAAGCCGAACGCGATCGACTTGCCAAGGAAGAAGCCGAACGAGTGGCTCAGGCTGAGAAAGCCGAAGAGGAAGAGCGCAAACGCAAGGAGGTCGAACAACGACGCGCCAAGCAAGTCGAAGATGATCGTCTGAAGCGGTTGGAGCAAGAACGCGCTCGAGCTGCCAAGATGCGCCGTGATCGGGAGGCAGCAGAGCACCGACGCCGTGAGGCGCTTCCCAGTCGCCTTCGTGTTGCAGCAAACCTTGTGGGATCCAACAATCCCCGTGCGAAAAGCCATGACTGGCTCAAGTCTTTCATGCCTCTCGTTACTGCCCTCACCCGTCAACTTGACCCTAGCTGTGGTGTGGATGTCGCCGACGAGAAATGGATCCCGAACTACTTGGTTGCGCCTCTTCTAGCTACCAATGATCTGCAACTTTCGCAATACGCCAGCTGGGAGAAGCGAAAGGCGACACCCACTCAACGTGTGAATCTGTGGCGGGTCACCCGTCGCATGTTGACCCATACAGACGATGTTGGATTCCAAAGCTCGAGCATCGGACAGATCATGCAGAAGGATTGTGACACGCGCCCCAAGTATTTCGAGATGGAGCATGTCTTCTGGATCCGAGTAAGTTTTCTTGAGTCTTGCAGGTTATGCCTCACAACTAACAAGTCTCTTAGCTTTCTGATTTCACAGACCTCGTCCCACACATCCCTCACCTCCACGGCCTAGAACTGCAGTTCTTGAACATGCACGTCGATCCGGAACCGCCGACGGCTGGCGCAGACTTCAGCACTCCTCAACTCAATGACCATGGCCCGGAATCCTCAGTCGACACCAACGGAACCGGGCTCAATGGTTATGGCCCTTCTCGATCTAGTACATACGTCTAGTTTTGTTTTTAGCGTCTTTTCGCTAGACCCGGCGCGATGTCAGCAATTCAGCGAAGCGGTGTACAGGGCGGATTCTGATTGTACGATTATGATACCTCTTGCGTTAAGTGATGATTCTACTGTTAGGTAGTTTTGTTGTGGTTTCTTTTTGTAGTCACTGGTATAATGAATGTAATCATGCATCCCCGTGTCAATAATACCAAGTTCAAACACAACTTACCTCCTAATTAAGATATATGTAGAAATTTGTAACAAATCAAAAAATCCTGCACTAACTTGTAAACCTAAATATTAGGCTAAAAGCGCCATCAAACTGCATTTGCAAATATCCATCCATCTATGGAGTATACAGTCCATGGATGTATAAACACATCACGTGACCAAGTTTACGGGGACCACATGACATAATCGTAGGGCACACACAGCCGAAAAAAGTCGAAATAGCGGGAAATTTCACGCCGCCCGCACCACCTCTTAATTTCTCTCTCCAACAACTCTACTCTTCGAGGATCATCCGATTTCAAGCATAACAAGCAACAAAATGGTATGTTTCATATCTGCGAATTACCCTCACACAATGTCCACCCCCGCCACGGATCTCGTCATGGCAATTGAGACGCTGGAATGGGCATAGCCGACGAGAGCGATTGCGTCGCCGCAATAGAGGCTACCCCTCGTCGGCGGTCTTATCTATGCGCTGCACCGGTCTAGTCCAATTCCAAGTCTCAAGAGTCACGACAATGATCCAAGCAAGGGGACCATTGAAGTACGCAATACTAACAATAATCCTCTAGTCGGACGGAGAAGAGCCCACATCCCCCATCGCCCCCGCCGAGGAGGTCGAGGTTTCTGCCGATGCCGGCAGCGGCCAGATGTCCGTCCTGGATGCCCTTAAGGGTGTTCTGCGCGTCTCCCTGATCCACGACGGTCTTGCCCGTGGTCTCCGTGAGGCCGCCAAGGCCCTCGACCGCCGCGAGGCTCACATGTGTGTCCTCAACGAGGGCTGCGAGGAGGAGGCTTACAAGAAGCTTGTTGTCGCTCTCTGCTCCGAGCACAAGATTCCCCTCATCAAGGTTCCTGACGGAAAGATGCTCGGCGAGTGGGTCGGTCTCTGTATGTTTCCCCCATCTATTGATATTGGATATCCATTTTAAGGGCATTTTTGCTAATGTTTTGTTCTTCAGGCACTCTCGACCGTGAGGGTAACGCCCGCAAGGTTGTCAACTGCTCTTGCGTCGTTGTCAAGGATTGGGGTGAGGAGTCCCAGGAGCGCTCCGTTCTCCTCAACTACTTCCAGACCGAGCAGTAGATTATTCCTACTGAGCGGCTGTGAGTAGCAGGCCTCGTTTCAGGCGTCGGGTTGACTGGGGGCTTTGTGGTGGGGATCAAGGGAGGAATACATGAGGGATAGATCAATGTTGAAACCACCGGCTGGACTTGATTTTGGTTGGCGGAACTTTGTGATATCTCTGTTTGGTCTTTTGAACCCGTCATTTCGAATCACCTAGTCTATAGCCGTGCCCCGTTTACTCGGGTTCGCGGCACCAATGGCATCTGGACATCTTGTCTACTTTGACACAAATGATAAACTAAGATGCGATAGCATCTGTCCCTCGTAAAAGTTTTTTGATATAAGAGGAAACTGGTATTTTTTGATTAACATCTACATACAAGCAAGAAAGCCTAATCCAATGGATTAAAGACCAACTCTGAACTGACTTTTTCAGACCTGTTACTGCACAGGACGTTCCTCTAGGACCGTCTGGGTAATATGCTCTTGCCTAGCCTATTCAGTAACCCATAGGAGCTGTTTGTGGGCGTCCTTTCATCCCATTCTACAGGCGAAGAATAGAACACATGTCTTCAGTGCTGTAGCCATCTGAGAGGCATAGTTCACACTTCGAGCGTAAATACTGAACACGTTTGGCAGGTCTTTGTTTGAAACCATAGATCGGATGCCATTAACCCGAGCTCTATCGTTGGGCCGGGCATAAGGGGTTTGAAAAGGAGGTTATTCAGGAAGGTGCACACACAGCCATCGCAGAGGAAAGCACGAGGCTGAAGAGTACGACAGTATGATTTTAGTGATCCTAGGGGCCTCGTGGATTGTGTGATAAGGATCTATGACAAGGCCAACCGCACGCAGGCCAAGATCCCGCTTGAGTACAAGACAAAAAAAAAAAAAACGGAAATACTTACATGTCAGACCTCAACACCAAAATCGATATGCTAAAACACCGGTAATGAGGACTGGCAGGAGACAAAAAGCAACCTTCTGCAAAATGGGGAGACGAAAACTCAGAGTCGTCATGCTGTATATCTTTACCCCTTGTTCTAGGGCGAGGGTAAGTGTTGGCCTTTTTTCCGCAAATGCAGTCTCCACCATCAAAGAGCAAAAAATTAGTACAAACAGCCAAAGACTCGCGAAGATGACACCGTCAAAGAACACATTGCTCATATTGCCAAAAGGATCACAGTCTGCAGCCCAGAGGATAAGTGCAAATATCAATGTGACTAGATGTACACTAATTACATCGGATATTTTGGGGTGGGAGATCCAATCATTGTCAGGATCGTTGAGGTCCATGGTGGTGGAGTCTGATATAGAACGGAGATCGGGTGGGGGTACGGGTTGGCCGTCAGAGAGAGGTTGTTCCTCATCCTGCGCGCGAGTCTCATCCTGTGTGCGAGTCTCATCCTGTGTGCGAGTCTCATCCTGTGTGCGAGTCTCATCTTGAGCGGCAGTCTGATCTTGGGTGAGAGTCCCATCCTCTATGCGAGGCTGATCTTCTACGCGAGTATTAGACCTCTAGTTGAACTTGGACAATAACTACTAGAGCTTGACTCACCTTCCTGGAAATATTCGATGACTGTGATGAGCGGTGCGGCCAGTAACACCAGAGAAGCAACTTGGCCAAACGACCAATCATTAAAACCGGTCAATGAAGTCTCGAGGCCCATCTGTTCCGGTCGATATATTGTTCTTATCAGTCGGACAATACCATATACAAAGCCGACAATGAGCCAGGTGACCTAAGGCCAAGTCAGAAAATATGCGATACAATCAATACACTTCCCATATAAAATATCTGACCTCTTTAATGGCAGAATCCCACGCATCCACGATCACCAAACACGTGTAGTAGACAGACAACAGGGGAAGGTAGCAAAGCATTAATCTCAGAGTCCGTGGCGAGCCAGACGCGCTGCTCCAGTTATGCACATTGTTTAAGTCATACACATCGCTCCAGTTATACACAATGTGTAACAACCTTCGTATGAGTCCTCCAATGAAGGTTCTCGCTCGCCCAGCAACACCAATTGAAAGTGTATCGTAGAGCTTAATTGCCCTCGAAGCAAATGCAAAGATCAGCAAGATCATTGAGAAAGGCATAGACCAAAACGCCGAATTCATTCCCGGATGAGGGCGCATATAACAGATTGCAGGGTCACTGAGAGTTGGGTGATCGCCGTTCTCTGCGTCAAAGGCCCAATGATAGTTTCCGGTGAAACTAAGCCCCACGATCAATAGTACCACCATTACACCCACTGCTAGTAACCTCAATACCCGCTCAGTGGGGTGGTCGTGGAGATGGTTGCGCAAAAGCGTTAAGCAGGATAACTGAGTCAGGCAGGAAAGCCAGGCTAGGTGGACGACGACTAGCCAATGGTAGGTTGACAGGCCGCATCTGAGCTGGAGAAACCCACTGATCAGGATGGAGAAGCCTGTCACGATTTGTATGTCGCTCAATGCTCGGATACACTGTTTTTTCGAAGTTGTTTTTAATCATTCCTGATTCATTCACTGATCCGATCCTAGAACTTACCCACCTTGAGTAGGGGGTTTGCAAGTTTTTTGCTGCTAATTTTCACAAAGGGTACGCGCATTAGAAGTGTGTTGAGGGTTGTCAAGACACCTTCGTCTATCGGGTTAGGTCGAAACGGAGTTGGTGGTGTTTGACCATCTTTTTGAAACGGGTCGCAGGTTGGATCGTAGACGTCGACGTAGTGGAGGGAAATGACCACTACAGCGAAGCCGGCAGTCACAATATTGTTGATAATAATCTAAGAATGTGAGATGCGCCCGTAGTTGACAAGAGAAAGACCTAGGAGGAGACTCATACCCCAATCCCAGTGATATCGCTGTTTGGAGATAAGGCGGGGGTGGGAGCTGAGCAATTGAAATTGCAGGACATATCGTGGCCGCAAAGCGTCTGATTTATTTCCCGTATATCTATCAGCGTGTCTCTTTATTTTAGACACTTGTTGAGTTGGCATATACCCTTAGGTTGTTGGGTTGAAGTTGTCGAGGTAGGCATGGGGGATTTCTACATAGGGTACTCTTGCTTACGCACGTGGTGGTGAGGCTGAGGTTTATTGGCACGATCTCTGTTGCTGTATCTTGTATCTCTAGAATAAGTCATCTCGAATATAAGTAATGTTTAGCATCGTGGATTTCTATGAGACGTAAAGGAAAAGATCCACGAGGTCCACTACCTATGTATCTTGGACAGTATTTGGTCTGGTGGCATCGTTGACCTCGTCAAAAGCAAGAAACCGCTCGAGTCAAGGTTTGATGAAGGAATGTCCATAGTTTATCCCAGATAACCAATATGTTTTGGTAAGTCTGTATTAAGCAGAGTTTTAATAGAAGTGGTTTATATACACAGTATACTCCTTCAGTAGAGTACAAAGTAGGGCTGCCTCGGTCCAATGGACGGGGGTGGAGTCATGACCTTACCCGGCAATCTGAGTCAGCTGGATTTCGCAATTTCCCAAGTCCGATGGCCCGTCTGGGCAGATGTGTTTCTTTGTTTGAATCCCGTAGACGTAGGCGCTCTTTGAGGCAAATCTCTCCTTTTTCTTTTTCTTTTTCCTTTTAGATTTTAATCCTGATGACAGGTGCATATTGCTCTTATTTGCGCTATCATTTTACTCCGTGCTAGGGTCTACATCTTATTGAGACATCCTTCAATATCTTAATCATCTAATCTCCTAATCCCGAATCCCACCGGGCGTCGGGATGGAATCCGCCGAAATCCAAGGGACCCCTGCGCCATATGGCCGCGCATGTATGAACTGTTCCCGTGCTAAGTGCAAGTGCATTATCCCCACAACCGGTAATGGCTGCGAAAGGTGAGTGGCGCTGCTATGTTGTAGAGTGTGGCAATAGTCCCAACTAAGCATACCGGGGTAGATGCCAGCGCTTGAACAAGGAATGCCGGCCTGCCCAGACGGTCCGCAAGCGCAATAAGCAGCCGTCGGGTTCTAATACTGCCTATCTCGAGGCCAAACTTGATTGGATTATGTCCGCATTTGAGAAGAGTGGTGTCAACCCCGGTGTTCCTCCAGAGTGGCAACCGGTAAACCCAGGGCAGAGTCAACGGCATGATCCAAGCCCATCTGCACCAACCACTCAAACCTCACCTAGTATTTCTCCTCTTTCACATACCGAGGATGTACAGTATCCTGCACACTTTCTGCCTTCGTATGATCAGGAGATCTTGTCCTTGATCTACATCCCGCCCGTCATGGCTCAGAAGTGCCTCGACCAGTTCCGAAGTCAGAACTTGCAATATCTTCCCTTTGTCTATATTCCTTCTGACATAACATCTGACCAATTGCGACAGCAATACCCATTCCTTTGGGTATGTATTATGGAAGTCACAGCATGGAACAACCCAGAAAAAGGAGACTCTTTCGGGAGAATAACCAATCATATCCATCAAAGAGTTATGCTCGACCTTGTACCGAGCATGGACCTTCTCCTTGGGATCATGACTTTCATATCATGGTGAGCAGAAAATAAGTACCCCCTAATGAAAGCCACTTTCCTCATTACAATTCTCTTTACAGGGTTTCATACACTAAAAGGCCATTTATCAATATCTACGCACACATACTAATGGCAGTGGTCGCCGAGCTTGGGATCAATCAAAGTGGCCTAAATGATCATTCGGCCATGCTTTCTTTCAAACTCGCTATTGGGATGAAGCAAGCTCCACCCGCCCCCAGAACACTGGAAGAAAGGAGGGCTGTGCTGGGATGCTTCTTGCTTTCATCAAGGTAAATATTGAACACTCAAAGGAGCTCTGTAAACAACAATTAACAACTATACTACCAGCGTCGCAGTGGCAATATCCAGGATCGACGCTATGCGTTGGACACCGCACATGGAAGAAAGTCTTTCAGTACTCACCGAGGCTAAAGAGTGCCCCCAAGATGAGCTCTTGATTATACTAGTCAAGATTCATTTGGTCTTAGACAGAGTTTATCAACTGCGGCGGGATGGTGAAGCTTTTATCTCGCTAGCCTTCTACCTGGACAGCTTCAAAAATCAATTAGACACAGTGAAGAGCCAAATTCCGCCTCGCCTTCAACATCACAGTATGCTTCTACCCCTCTTGACTCTCCACAGCCATGACTAACCAGATAAAAGGAGTCGTTCTGATGTATATCTACAATGCCGAAATCATAATCAACGAACTATCAATAGGAACCCCCGCCATTGCCCATTCGCCCGATCCCCATCGCCTTGACAGCCTTTACACCTCCCTCCGAGCAACAAAAGGCTGGCTAGAATTATGGCTAGAACTTGAAGGAGGGGAATACCTACAGTTATCATGTTTAATTTTTTTCCAATTCACCCGAGCCATGGTCAGTTTGTATAGGCTCACCATTTTGGACGACCCGGCATGGTCCAAAACTATGGTCCGAGACACGGCAAATATCCTCGAATACCTGGACAGAAACGAAGCCGTCCTCCGAAGGTGCCCAGAATATATCACTTTCGACCAAAGCAGGGAAATGAATATCCTCGAAAAGGGACTGAGACTAATTCAAGGCATGAGAATGAACTGGGAGCCGAAATTGCTGCAAATGTGGCGCCCAAATATGCCCGCGCACAACGCGATAAATGGTGGCATGACCCAGTCTGATGCTATACTCCCTGACGTTATGCCTTTGGATGGGATTGATGAGGCCTGGATGATGGAATTCCTTGGATCGTTATAAATCTTGGTTTGTGATGCTTGAAACCGTGGAAAGAAAATGAGACGAGATTTAATAGCTTAATCAATAATATCATCTACCCCAAGCATAGTGTTGTCGCGTGCTTGAAATCTTTCACAGATCTCCAATATATGGTCTGCATAGCTGCAAGCTCTGAGGCAACGGAAATGATTTTCTTTTCACTCAAGAGCACCAGGGTCCACAGAGTCCCGGCCAATCTATCATTGTTGGAAAAGGACAACATGTCTCAGTAGTACAACTTCACATTTCACATCATTGGGGACTTGGCCTTTGACGAACCCTTTGACTGCATTTCTACGCGTGCCAACACAGATACCGTCTCTGTATCAAGATCCATTCCGAGTCAAACCGTGGACATCTCCTACGACTATCCAGGTTCAAACGCCGAACTAGTTGATACGCAACCTACTGCTAGTGTAGTACGTTAGTGTATACCCTAATGCCAAGGTTCCTGCCCAATCAGCTCACGGAAGCTTCTCCCAATTCCTACATATTGAAACGGTCATCTGCATGACCCTGAGAGCGCTTATGAATATCTGAGGTCGATTCACGTGATACAAAATGTCGGTCTTATCCTGTTTGTAGCCTTATTGAAATATGAGGTTTAGCAGCATGCTCGTCCCCATCATCTTCAACTTTCTATCGACTCTCTGCCAACAAATCATTGGCTGCTCGCTTCCCATCGAAATTTCCTCTATTTTCCCTCAACAAACAGTAATGCGCGACTCAAGGATCTTCGCACCGATAGGCCCTGCTCTATCGACGACAGAACGGACTGTTTTCGGCCCCCTAGGATGCGATGTCTACGGCTACCCCTCTACTGGCGGGGTTCTCATCAAAGAGACTGCTGACCTTCTCGACATGCTTTTCCTATCGGTCCCCCGCTCCTATGCATAGCAGCGCTCACCTAGTGCCGACGAAGAAGACAGATTCTGTAATCTCATGCGACGCACTGGTGCGAAGTTTTAGCCGAGTAAGGAGGAGTAGATCGATGTGAAGATGGAAAGAAGGGAGATCACGGAGGAAGAAGAAAAGGTGATGGTGTATGGTTGGCCGACGGATGGAGTGGGTGTGTGGGTGTTGAGGTATGGGAGTGCCAGTCAAATGTCCCGAGATTTTGGGAGAATGGGTTTTGCGATGAATATGGATGAGAGGATACAGATCATGAAGGAGTATGGCGCTACGTTTTTTGAAGATGTCACGCAGGTGAAGGAACTTGACGGCACTAGTGACTAAATACGTTTGGAGGCCTACTAGTCTTGGGATAGGTACTTGCGGAGAGGAATTTTAATATGCTACATGAGAGCCGTGGCCATTTTGGCCCTTCAGAAACTGAGATAAGCTTTTGTTAAGCAAAATATAACTATCATTTTGAAGCCTCTACGATGCCTAGACCCATTTCATTAATTTTAAAGGTCTCGTTAGGTAATACCCAGATAGAGCAATGCCCTATGGAGTACAGCCTTAGAAGGCTCTTAAATATCAGTTGAAACATCTTAGGTGTAAGACTGCGAAAATGTTCTAGTCTGGCTCGAGTTTCCTCGCAAAGAATGGGATCGGCCTATTATTGGTGCTTATCAGTTTGAGCCGGATGTATAGGCGCAGGTGCCATAGAGGTTAGATATAAGGACCAGGGTGAAAATTTTGTGGTGTGGGATACGATAAGGTTGAGGTCGACTTGAGGCGTGGGCAACGAGGATAAGCGAGAATGGGAGGTGGAAGGACACCGGAAGGGAGGGAAGACGATGCATCTTATAGGCGCTCAACTGGACTGGGCGAAGAGAGAGGGGACCTGGATTTGGCTGAAGGGGAGCCATTTTCGGCGTCGTTTTGGCCGCAGGTGGAATCTCAGGGAATGACTTGAACAAGCCGTTTCTGGCGCCAAAAGCGGTCATTTTCGGCGTCACTTTCACAGGTCCTCATATTCTATATGTAATGTTTATGTATGTTGACTTCAACAGGTCTCAGTGTCTGGGCCCACTTTTCTACATATCATTCCGAATCTCATCTTGCCAAAGCGGATTTGTTTATGCCTAAGAGATGGCCGAAGAACAGAGACAAGCGCTTCGAGTTGGACAGTCCGACAGTAGTTCACCCATTCTCACTTGGGCCCCGTAACTGTCTTGGAAGAAAGTGGGCTGTGATTTTCGATATCTTTGGGGATCAAGCTAATTGTATCCATCCACACACAGCCTTGTCTATGTAGAACTGCGTTTAATTGTGACCAAGGTCTTCTGGAGCTTTGAAATGACCATGGATGAGAGTTCAACTGCTTGGAATATCCAGAAATCCTTCAATAATTAGGCACGCAAGCCATTGATAGTGAACCTGTCACTGGTACAGCATTTAAAGTGTTGCAAAATTAGTCGTTTTTTGCGTTTCGTTGGTGTAACTGAGTACTGCGGGCAACAATACAAGGTACCTAGGTAGCCATATCTAGTTATAGGATGGCTTGCTATGTTTGTGATACGAGACGAGGAATCATTGACTAGCACGTCACTATCTACCAATAAATAAAATTCCCCATATTGCACATGGGCGTCATTTATCTGAATTAATTGGACCGTCAATTGGGAAAATCACTTCAGCACACTTGTCTCAGTTTATTTGCCTTTAGGGGAACCGTGAATGTATATATTGTTGAGGACTTTGCTGTACATACATGTATAAGGTTGTCTCACAATAGTTGGTCCTTGCCACCATACAATATGTGTACAACTCTGAAACTGAGACATCAATCAATGTTGGAACTGCGGAACTGACATTGAGATTTAGCCGAACACTGGAGCATGGGCTAAGGTTGCACATTTGAAGGCAAGACTTAAGGATCTGATCTTTTTTAACGATCTAGCCCGAAACTCCAAGCTCTGAAATTACACAACGTGAAGTTTAAGTGAGTTGACCGTTAGGTTTATCAATCTTTCCCGGTCATGCCGGTTCTGTGGCGAATCGAGATATCTAGATCAGACGACATGCAGACTTGACAAGGGCCTAAATATTGTATCGCAGTCTAAAAACAAAAACAACCCCCAGGATAAGGTACAACTTAAAAGGCAAAGTAGCACGCTCGGATAGCAAATTCGAGTATAAAGCTTGCTTCTAATCCGGTAGTTAACCCACTATTCACAATTGTCTATTCCAAACCATCGCAATCAACAAGAAGAATGTCTAGTTTTGTCAATATTCTTGCACTTGTGCCTTTGGCACTGGCTGCCAGCCCGGTCATGATGGTCCCTAATCAGGTACGGCCATAGAGAGTGTATTTAAGCCCTGATCAATCTGTTTACTCTTCCATCTAGGCGATGCTTTTCAAAGAAAACGACTTCGCAATGAATGCCGGACGAAAAGGAATGCTCATTGCGACTGATGGAAATTGCATGAATTTCGACAACATGTCTGAGTAGTAAGTTGAGTATTCTTCGCATACCCATGAAGCTTTGTTAACCAAAGTACCAGCCGCATGAATGTTGGATCAATCTATGTCCCATGTCCGTCCGAGGTTAAGCAAGACATGATGTGCTCAATGTACTCGTAAGTAAAAAGCCTCTGACCAAAAGCGTCTAGTGCTAAGCCACCTAGCGACAACTCTTGCAACAACGAACTGTTCACATTTACCCGACCCCATGCGAATCTGCTTAGACAAGCTGTTGGCGATGGTATTGGAAAACATGTCAGAAGCATGAAATGCATGACCGTCCGTTCTCCTGCCGACAGACTCGGACATATCTTCTCGAGTGATCATGTGTCTACCAAGAGTCCAAGCAACTGCCCCAGTGACAGCTGTTCCAGTGGATTGAACTGTCAATCAACCCACCCGGATTATGGAATGTACTGCTCTTCAAGCTCCATGACCTGCCAGCGGACTTCTGTAACTGGTGCCCTTTGCAGGGAAGACGGTCAGTGTGTCGCGGGTCATTGTGAGAGGGGGATGTGTATGGCTGCTGCAGAGAACCTGCACTGTCTGGGGGGCTATGATTGTCCTACTGGAATGCAGTGTCGTCCAACACGTGTTATTAATTCCCTTGGAACTTCCATGGTCGAGATGGTCTGCATGAAAGATAAGGATGTTCGTGGCATGCAGTGCTCTGCTGATAGGCCCTGCGCAGAGCATATGTCGTGCAGTCTTCAACATGAGACTAACGCATACTGTGAGTGGAACGGTACTTGTGGACTGAATAGTATGAGTTGTATGTCGGGCAGTCAGTGTTGCTCTGGAGTTTGCAGGGCCAATTTATGTCAGTGACAGTCTGATAGCCTTTGTGGAGGATGTCCAGATTTGGAGGAAATGGTATTTAAATTGAAATAGGGACTGAATTCTAGCTGGTGATACGCGTGTTAGCTGAGGATAATCGAGATTTAGTGGTAATGGGAATCTTTCTTTCTTATAGTGCCTGAAGTTGGAACTCCTTCTTTAAATATTTCTATGTTGACATGTTTGAAGACATTACCACACGGATGTTCATGTAGACCTCAACTTATCCATCCAATCAGATGTACAGAGTAAGCGTTCTTTTGTCAAACCTCAGCTCAGCTTTATGCAAAAAGTTGTTAAAAGTTGTTTCCTACTCCTTTCGGGGACACAGTCGCTGGATTCTTTCCAATGCATCCTCTCGAATCTCATACACAATATCTTTTGCATCTTTCACGCCATGTATCAGTCCCACAGAGGCTCCTGCATATGTTGCGAGTCTACCCTCAGGACCCCACCCTTTATCACCCGTCTTAACAGCTTCATCATGCAGCCTTTTCAGCTCCTCGAAAGACTTCCCTTCCTGTTGCTCAACAAATGATTTGTTGAAGATAGTTCGGGGGCTATATTCCTCTGGCCACCCAAAAGTACCCCTGAGGTGATTATACAGTAGTGTACGCGTGGTTGAGGCTGCACCATCGACTGCACGTACAACCTCGTCCTGGTAACCCCGGCTTATACGTGCTTCACTGGCAGCGAGGAATCGAGTCCCCATTACCACGCCCGAAGCTCCAAGACACATTGCCGCTGCAACACCGCGCCCATCTGCGATTCCACCAGCCGCAAACAAAGCAATTTGGCTGCCTGCCATGGCATCTGCTACTTCGGGAAACAGTGCCATAAGCCCCATTCCATCTTTCGCCCGACCGTGACCACCGGATTCAGCTCCTTGCACCACAACAACATCTGGTCGCTCACGGTTCTGAAGAAGCTCTTTTGCCTCTTTCAGAGTGCCAATTTGGATCCAGATTTGCGTGTCAGGGGACACTTGGCGGATCTTGCTAGACCAGTCGTCGTATTCCTTGGGTCCCTGGCGTGGGGCGTATAGCCAGGCTGCACATGGTTTATGCTTTTCGATAGCCGCGACAGCAATGCTGATATCATCGCCCCAGAGCTGGTATCCTATGCCGACAGGTAGTGTCGAGCTGGGAGTTGGTACTGTGCCCGCCGCTTGGCGTATGAGCGATGATGCTTTCTCGAGATCATCACTTGTATCCTGTGTTTTGGCACCGGGGCCAATAAACCCTAATCCACCCGCACGAGAAACGGCTACTGCCAGTGCTGGACCTGACATTACTTTCATGGGGGCGCTGACCACAAATGGACTAGATACCCATGGGTATCGTGATAGCAAGTTTGCGGCCATGGTTGGGTGTTTGAGAAGGTTGGCAAATATATAAATAATGTCGCAATAAGATCATTGGTACTAACCACGCGACAAGATATGTGTGAGGAATTTCGGCTTGAATGTTGTTTTGGAGTTACCGAGGCATTCTCCTCGACGTCACAACAATCAGTAGCCCCGCAAATCTCCGCAATATCCGCATGGCCTAGTCACTGTACGTGGGTGAAATTATTAGGCCTCAGGCATCAAACATGATAGACTCGCAATACCCACTCCAGTTGGTCTCTCCACCCATATCATCCGCAATACCCGCTCTGTCTATCTACCCATCCCACTCGGAAATTGCGGGATCTTTACAGGTGCTGCTTATTGTTCAAAGATATGTCACAATCCGACTTGAAGCGAAAGCGCGCCCGAATTGCATGTGAACCATGTCGGGAGCGGAAAAGAAAGTGCGATGGCGCCGAGCCTTGCAGCACTTGCTGTCAATGGGGCTATGATTGCCACTACGAACGTCAGCCACGACAGAAGCACCATGCTCCGCAACAGCCTCCAGATGAAATTGCCCCGCCAAGGTCTTCGCAGCAAATCAACTCAGTGGATACACACGGGGTGGATCGCCGGTTGTGGGCAAACTCCGGTGCTGCATTTGTTCGGAGGATGGGCCTGAAGATCGATCCTGCCAAAGCGCCAAAACTCAGCCTGTTTGGTTGGAATATTGGAAAGCGACAACTGTCATCTGAATCTCAGGCTGTGTACCCCGTGCTTTCCATCACGGATATCACATCCTTGGAACACATGAAGACCCTCGCTCAAATCTACTTCGCTAAGATTGCTCCAAGCTATGGCTTTATTGATTCTTCTCAATTTTTTGAGCGACTAGAGGCTAGGTGGCAGTCTCCCATGGTGAGTGGTCTATATGACAGTGTTCTCGGGGGCGTCGCTGCACTAGGTTGTCTGTTTTCCCAACGAAACATGACCATCACTGAAATGCATCTGATCGGATCGGCACATTCTATTCTTGACACGCACGTCCTATGTGCCGCTCCTCCCGTAGACCTTCTCACTGGGTGGACATTAAGAGTTGTCTACATGCGAATGACAGATCTACCTCACTCAACGTGGATCGCGAGCTCGAAGTTAATGCATCTGGTGGAAGCCGCAGGATTCCACCTAGAGTCCACTGATTCAGTCTTTCCGCGCAGTATTGGCACGGACTTTGATCCAAATATCCGAAGACGACTCTTCGGCATAGCACTACATCTTAATATGTGGACGTCTTATGATCTTGGTTTATCAAGAGTATCCTTTCAAAAGAATGATTTACCATTGCTTCCATCAGCCACCGATGGTGATTTTACCCGTGAGCTACTAGGACTTATTCCATTATCGACAAGCCTAGATCCAGGAAAGCCCAAAGGAGATGAGATTAAGCTAGAAGAAACGCTTTCGCAGATTCTAGAAAGAGTTCACAATGAGCCTCCCTCGGCCATGGCGCAATGCAATCTTGTACTTTGCCTTCTGCGCAGAATCCACACAGAGAAACTTGAAATATCCGCTCTCCTCGCAGAAAACGCTCTAGTGTTGCTGAAAAAGGGACTTGGTTGCTCACGGACTATGGTTAATACCTGCAGTCCTTGGCAACACATGGCAAACGTACCTTTCCACATCATTTGTGTCTTGCTCGTGATGGACACACGGCAATCGCTAGCTATGCTCCCCGAAGCAATGCAGACATTGAAGTTAGTCGCATCCACTTACGATACAAATACCATGAGAGAAGCCTGGAGTGCGGCTCTCTTGCTAGTTATGCTTCATCAACAGCGGAGGAAAGATGACCTTACGATCTTCAATGATATCATGAACATGGAGGAGCAAGAAAGTCCAGTTGGACCATCCCAGCAAGAATTTCCGAGCGCTGAAGAGTACTCATGGCTAGGGGCTTTGGTCGCAGATCTACCCGGTTTACAAAGGGAAGACCTTGATCAATTTCTAAATGCGGATATGATTGATAGTTCAAGTTTCCTAGGTGGATCTGGATGAGTGAACCCTATCCTATATAGAGAGTTACTTATGCTTGTTTAATTTTGTTGACAGTATTTCATCATTTTAGACCTTAAAACTTAGCTTTGATTTCCTTCCAACTTTCAAACCTGAGAACCAGGATGCGACAAAACTTCGCGGAAATTGCGGGTGCCTTGCTGGTGAAATTCTCCGTTCCGCAATACCCGTTTCTATGGTCAAAGCTGGGGAAAGGACATGCACATTAAGTACATATTAGTGACACTGCCCCAATATTCCACTCGATTACAAGCTCGTACTAACTAGGGGAGCCCAGCTTGAATTCAGAGTTCCTAGACATCCCATAAACCTCATCAAGTGTATCAAGTTAAAAATGCAGGAGAAGCTGTCGATTGAAGCGGACAAGGCACTTCCGACATCTCTTTCCAACACGGCAAGCTATGTCGATTTCAAAGGGGCTGATGACCCCGAGCATCCTCAAAATTGGGGACTGTCTACGAAGTAAGCCCCATGTCCAAATCAGCCAAAGATCTGGGTATCCTAGAAACTGACCGCAATTTTCACACAGACTTTTCAACTCTATCTTAGTCTGCTCAGGGACCTTCATTGTATCGCTAACAAGCGCCATCTTTGCACCCGGAATCGACAAAGCAAGCAAAGATCTGGGGGTGGGAACAGAGGTCGGAACACTGGGGACAACCCTCTACGTCCTTGGCTTTGCATCAGGGCCCCTAATCTGGGCACCTGCTTCAGAGTTACGGGGAAGGAAATGGCCTCTGACAATTGCAATGTTAGGCGGTGGAATATTTACCATTGCATCGGCGGTGGCCCAAAATATCCAGACCTTGGTGATATGCCGTTTCTTCGCTGGCATGTTTGGCGCAAGCCAACTGACTGTTGTTCCCGGTGTACTGGCCGATCTATACAGTAACGCCACTCGCGGTGCCGCCATTTCACTATATGCGCTGACTGTTTTTGTGGGCCCGTTCATGGCTCCTTTTGTGGGTGGCTTCATTGCATCGAGTTATCTTGGCTGGCGGTGGACTCTTTACATCCCGGCCATTTTAAGCTTGGGAAATGGGCTGTTGAGTGTTCTCTTTTTGGATGAGACATATCCGCCTTGTATTCTTGTCGCAAAGGCTGCTACTATCCGCAAAGAGTCACAAAATGGTAATATTCGGGCTAGACACGAGGATATCGAGGTCAGCATCGCAGATCTCGTGGAGAAATACTTCACACGTCCATTGAAGTTGCTCTTTACGGAACCTATCATTCTCGTGGTGTCGGTCTACATGTCCTTTATCTACGGTCTTGTCTATGCACTCCTTGAGGCATACCCCTTTGTCTTCGAGCATGTATACGGAATGACTCCTGCCTTTGCTGGTCTAATGTTCATTGGCCTCATCATTGGTGTGTTGTTCGCGTGTGCGTTCATTCTTTTCGGGCAGTTGGCCTACGCAAGGAAACTGGCAGAGAATGATGGCATCCCAGTGCCCGAGTGGCGCCTCGCCCCGCCACTCCTAGGAGCGCCTGTCTTTACAATAGGTCTCTTTTGGTGAGTAAGATGATTTTGTATCAAAACGATGGATGATGTCTGCTAACTGAACATTCATCAGGTTTGGCTGGACCGGGTTCAACCCTCAGATTCACTGGGCTGTACCTGCTGCGTCCGGGATATTCATCGGATTCGGGGTGTTATGCATTTTTCTTCCGTGCTTCAACTATATTGTCGATGCATACTTGCCAATGTAAGTTCTCGGCCCGTCCACTCGAAGAAATCAAATCACCCTGCTGACATACCTGGGCCGTAGCGCTGCTTCAGCTGTTGCTGCCAATATCATTCTTCGATCAGCAGTAGCTGCTGGCTTCCCGTTATTCTCAAGGCAAATGTTTCAAAATATGGGCATTCAATGGGCTGGCACGTTACTTGGCTGTTTAGCTGCAATAATGATCCCCATTCCGATCATATTTAGGGCTTATGGACCTTGGCTACGCGGAAAAAGCAAAGTGTTTCCATAAAAAAGTGCTAGGAGTTAGATTGAGTGAAATGACCTTGTGAGTTCCAAGTTATAGAGTGAGCCACAGCTGCTGCCAGGCCTATGAGCATATATAGTGTGTTTATTAAGAGTTGGTATGCTTTATTTACATATCATCCAACTTCCAAAAGCCCCGACCCGAGCCTTCCTGGGTAGTTCCTAGCACCAGATACGATATAGCGAAGAGTAGGACACTGGAGTATCTACTACTATGTTGTACGTATGGCCTTATATACAATAACATGATAATCTGAATAGGCAGATATACTGTTTTAGTCGTTTTGATTGGCTGTCGCACGGTGGCCTGAAGGGTCATAATAGGTGTGAGAATGAGTGCGACTATATTTATTCCCGTGTCCCTCGCTTCTCTCAAAGCCACTTTGTACACCCGCATAGAAAACATAACAGTATCAACTGCGACCTTTAAGAACCGATTGATACATAATAGTCTTATCTCATACTTTCTAAATTAAGCTATCATTGGTCTATTGTAGGATGCGAGGGGCGATGAGTTGGCTCGTAGTATCTCAAAGCTTCCAGGGAAATCGTGGCTTATCATAAGATGCGAGGGATTGGGGGATTGGGGGATCGGAGGATCGGCCGATGAGTCTAGAGGTGTGGCTTGTTGTGGTATGTACCCTACAACATAAGACTATACTAACTTGATCTCCATGGGACCTTGGGAGAGCCCGAAAGACCGTTTGTACCGGGGCATTGTGTTTCAGAATTGCTTATGTCCTGACTGGATGCTGGACCAATATCCACCATGATCCGCAAGCCGTTTTAGTTGACGCGCATATGATAAGAACAGTGGAGCAATATGATTTGTACTTTTTAGTAAGACTAGTCACGGTTTGACTAGCCATTTAAATTCAATGTTCGACATGTGATCTGCTCTCAGTTGAGCTTTATAAGTAGACGACATCTCCGTCTGAAAGCCCAAATCTTACAACCTACCAAGGAAGACAAGAAAGGAAAACAATTGTCTAAGGCCATTCTGCAACTAGTATGGAGCCCCATTTGCATCAAGCTCTTGAGAAATTATTGACACCACTTCTATTTTTCTAGCACCTAGATCTTTATGATATTACCGAAAACCTTCATAGGATCATTATTCCTTGTGATAACAAGTGTATACCATGATTTGATTTAAGCCGGTCGCAAATAGAACATCTGTCACGGCCCCATTTGCGGCCAGTCGGCCAGCCTTTGGGGCTTTCCGAGTCAAAAATGACCAGGAATAGATTGTCTTGTTTGATCTTTGCGTTTAGGATTTCGCCGAATTTGATATCGATTGTGACAGTAGCGATGATACATTCATGGGTAATATGATATGTGCTAGAAGACATTGTCTTCTTCGGGAGAGTTATTGTATTCAACACGAAAGCGTATTCAACAAGAGAAACCAGGTCAGCAAGATCTGATAATGAGCGAAAAGGATCTGATAAAGGTGCATTGTCACTAAGCTACTTTAGGCTTCATGCATCTGTCGATCCGATTCAAAGAGGGCTGACATCGCGTGACGCGGATCCCGTCGTAGCCAGCTCTTTGGCACTGGAGGCACTGGAGGCACTGGAGTGGCTAGTTAACTTTGGAAAACAGAAAATCGTATGGAGAAATCTTGTTATTGAGAACAGGAGAGGAAGAAATGTGATAAGGTTGGACAAAAGTACAAACAAACAGCTCCCTTGAGGATCCCTTGAGCTCTGTTTATATCCAAATATGGAAACTACAATTATGATATTGAACATAATCAACCACTTGACTTCAAAAGTTGCTAGCCTGCACATGGATCCCCTATTTCTTTACCTCCACTCATTCGGGGTTGTTATCAATTGAGCTGTCCACAGCCCATCCATTGAGCATAGTGTAGTCTGAATACGGCGAGGTGCCATGTAGGGTCTCATAGTGCTTGCGAGGCCCACACTCTCTCAACTTCGCAGAGTCTGCATTGATGCACCGGTTCTGCATGATAGCCGCGATTTGTCGGCCCGCGTCCTGTCCTTCAAAGTATGCACCGTGAAGGAATCCAAAGAAGGTCGGGCTGGTAGCCTCGCCGGCAAACCAGAGCCGGCCAACGTTGGCACGGAAATTTTGATGCATCTCCAGAGATGTGGCAGGAGGCCAGTTGGAGTAGCTGCCGTAGGCCCATGGCTCTGTAGTCCAGCGTGGGTACATGAACGCAGTTGGCTCGGGGATATCCTTCTCCGGGAACATCTTGCGCAGAACTTCCATTGCTTCCTTCTTAGTCTGCTCGTCTGTTTGGCGCTCAGCTCGGTAGGCAAACTCGTTGGTCACGGTTACGAAGATGATGTTGGAATCCGGGAGGAATCCGGGAGTAGATAATGACTGCCAGATCGGGTACCAACCACGGGTGACAGGATCGGCATAGAGGTGATATTGTGTTTCCGAGGGCCAGAAGGTCTCATTGAACTGGAAGAAGATCTTGGTGTATGTTCCCATGGTGAACTTCTGAATAGATTCCTGCTTCCAATCTGGGAGTTCTGGAGAGAAGTTGACAGCGCCATGTTGCAAGACACCCAGAGAGAATGTAGTAATCGCATATTCTGCTTCTACACAGCTGCCATCCTTGTTGTGAACTGTAACACCATGGTCCGAGTACGTGATATTCGTGACCTCGGTGTTCAAGTGAAGGCGGGGGTCATTGTCACTGAGGAAAGTCGAGGCAAGACCCTTGACAATGACATTGAATCCGCGCTGGTCAATAACGAAGTTATCGTGGTCGCTGAAATAATTGAAGGTCAAGTTGTCGCCGGCACAGCCGAAAACAAATGAGCTCTCTATTGGGGAGTAAGCAGCTTCAAAGTCTAGTCCAGGTGTTAGTCGGTGGCATTAGGTACATTTACAAGATATCTAACTTACCCCACGACCACCATTCAATAGCCTGTGCTTCCATGTCATGTACCTTGGGGTTCCAACCAGCCAAGGCCATTCCTGTCTTGAAGTTTTGATCCTGGAGATTCTGAGCAAGAATCTCACCTGCCTTCTGGTTGGCAATATCATAGGCCGTATCGTAGGTGTCGAGTAGATCGCTATAGTCGGAGTAACCATCCTTGTTGTAGGTAGATAGATTGTCATAATTTGAGAATTCGGTGTTCAGTCCGTATTTTTGAGCCTGTTCGAGGTCAGTTTGTGTTTGATCAAAGCTATATTTTGAGACTTACCAAACCCCAGATCGGGTTCTGCGGGCCTCCTTCGCTTCCAATACCTTGCACCTATTTAACCTGTCAGCTGACTCCATTTTATGTGGCTGAGACATGTATACCCAGTTGGCACCCATTTCAATATTATAAGGCTTCCCATCTTTGTCTTTGCCAAACGGTTTGTGCCAAGCCCGACCGCCGATAGTATCGCGGTACTCAAGAATCACGAAATCGTGTATGGAAGCATTCGTCAGGGCTTGCTGTAAATTGTCAATAACATTCAGATAAACAAAAGAGGGAAACCTACAGCAGCAGTAATACCAGCTACACCACCTCCCCTATACTTGGTGAGTTTTTTGAATTTTGAAATCAATAAGAAGTTCAATGCTTACAAGATTGCAACTTTAGTCTTCTTGCATGTTCCCTCAGTTCGAGTCTGGTGAGGCGCAGCGATAACAGGCTGAACTACGCCTGCTATCGCGGCCAAAAGTGAAAGGTGCTGCAAATGCATGGTGAGGATCTGGAGATTTGGAGATCTGAAGAGGGGATGAATAGTAATAAATAATTAAAACATCCGAGGTGAAGACTATACTTGCACCCTACAACATAGAACATAAAAAGATAAGAGCCCGCAATAGAGAAGATCTACAAGTTGTGTGGCCACATGTGTGTGCCTGTGTGCCTGTAACCCGATTGCTCCGACTCCTCAGACTTTCCGCAATCGGGAAAGTACATGCGGGAAGCTAAGAGAAGCATAATTTAATTCAACCTTGAAAATGTATCTAGCGCATGTTCGTACATATGTGCGGGGATGACTTTGATATTCTCCGTTTTTTTTATTGATTTAATCAATTCTAATCTCATTCTTATTACGTTTGGAATGCCGAATTAGGCTGGTACATTCCCAGGTCTCAGATATGCAGGAAATATCTGAGATAGGCTAATCTATCACGTCTAGGGATTATTCGTCACAAGTATCTCTCTCAATATGCTCATGATATCGAATATTGTCGGGGAAGTACGATAATCGGTACTTCCGCTAAAATGGTGCATAGGCAAAGCACTAGGTTCCAACCGTTAGTGTCGGCACTAGAGCCTTGGTAGTCATGCGTACCTGCTATAGCTTGGAAGCCGTATTGGAAGCTTTGTCGAACATGCGATTGAATCGTTTCAGGTAATAACTCCGCGAAGCGATTGTCGTTGAGGATTCTTTGAATAAGCTGTAGCAAAGGGTCAGAACACTAAACACCATGGCTTCCGAGGTCCCGATGATCCTCACCTCATCGATCTGGAATACCCCATGCAAGCTCCGCCGAAGGTCATTGGCAAATAGAGTCCGCACTATCGTTGCCGAGGTTGTCACACCAATAATCGATCCGAGCTGTTGGGCGAGGTAATAGGCAGTAATCGTTGTTCGGGCATTTCCTCCTTGACTCCGTGCCGATAAAGCTATAAATTGGGTGGTAAATAGGCCCGCCATTCCGGTTCCTATAAGAAACACTGGGATCAAACTAAGATAGCTAGCGCTTGAGCGCCAGATAAGGGCGAGCACTGCGAAAGAGGCAATTATTGTTCCCAACCCAATGATAGACAGTTTCTTATATCTCATAGTTCTATATTTCAGTAGTTAGGCTGTGTCTGCACTCCAGAGTTTCAGGCCATCCAACTTACCGGCGAATCAATCGGCCATATATAATTGAACCAAGAGCAATACCCAGAGGAAATGGCGAAAGCACGAGGCCGGATAAGCCGACGTTGGCTCCGCGCAATCGAACATAAAACATTGAAAGATTCGAGGTGAGCTGAGTGGTTAGCAGAGATGATGCAAATATTTCCGGTCTAAAACTTACAGAAGACAAGACAAAGAATAATAGAATCTGACCCAGACATATAGCCCAAGACCCGTTTTCTTTAAGAGTAGAAGTCGGGATAATCGGGGTTTTTGAAAGATAGAGCTCATTGACCACGAAAAGAGTGGCTGAAGTAGCGAAAGTGATTCCAAAGGTAATCGTTCTGGGATGCGCCGTCGGGCCGTATTGTTGAACGGTTTGTAGCAACACCATCAAAGTCCCAATTGAGATCCCTAGAAAAGACAGGCCGATAAAATCGAGGCCGCGGAGGGGCTTCAAATAAGAGATAATCCCTGAATATTGCCGTGGTACGTTTGTGGAAGCTCCTGGAAAGTGCCGGAGCGCAACGACCAGACAGACAACAATAAGAGGAAACTGCCCTATAAATGACCTACTTAATCATTAGTTTACAAACATACAAGTCTCATGGATGAACGGTACCATCGCCAGCCAACAGTCTGAGTTAGTAGTCCTCCGATGGGACCACCAGAGCTTATGCCCAACATAGAGGCAACTGAAAGGTAGCTTCGTAATACAGCAACTTTGGACGGAGAAACAAGATCTGCAATATTATGAGTGTCGCCCTTGGGATGTATTGAGGAACTGGAAGTGACACTAACCATTTAGCAAAATTGAGATAACATCGACCAGCCCAGAGCCACCAATGCCTGTAAAGAATCTGGCTATCATCAACATTGGCATTGACAATGACATGCCCCTGAAATAGCTGTTAGTAATTGGCATAATATGGTGTTCAATTTCGAAGCACATACGTGACGAGCGTGCCGAAGGCAAAAATCACGAAAGCGATGACGAGAACAGGCTTGTGTCCATATGCTGCGCATAGGTGTGCATACTAAGACATATTAGATCCAAGATACTCTGAAATGAAGGTCTCAAATCTTACCACTGGAAGTGCTATGGAGTACCCAAAGTTGTAGCTTGAAAGAAGCCAAGGTCCTAAATCCGATCTTTGGAAGACTTTGCCGATCTCCTCGTTTGTCGCCGTCACAAATGAACCATCGGCCATCGCGAGGTAGCTACCTTCATGGAGCATCTTAGTTACACGTCTTCGTCAACCGGCAGTATTACCGTCTCACCTATCATTGCGACTGCTAGAAAGACTCTGTTTACCCGCCCTTCTTCTTGATCTTCACTCTTATCAACTGTGTGATTCGGAACTTCCGCATTTGCAACAATTTGCCCGCCTTCAAGCAAAGGCGACGTCTCGCCAAACGGGTTATCACCAGACATGCCGAAAATCGTAGTCTTGGTAGCTTAGGGAAAAGGCAGTGAGATGGCAGCCCGAGGATAGGATCAGAGGAGATTAAGTATATCATCACATCTTACTTGCCACACTTTGCAACTAGGTATGCAGAAAGGTCAGGAACTTCGCGATGTATTGGACCCATCACAGCATTACCATCCAATAAGACGGTGTGGCTGAGGTGAGTCCTTGCATTAGAATTGCCAATGTTTTGACTGGAATGCTGGAATTGTAATATTTAGTCTGTGTAACTCGTCACTATCCAGGATCTACATGCATATCATTGCATATTATTGAATCGTGGGCTCTGTGGGTCAAGACTGCATGTATCAACTAGCAGCTGTTCGGTTTGACTCCATCCTTGCAACCCACTTCTTCCTTTGGTGTATCCTCGAAGTTCGCTTCCTCTTTTCTTTCTGTGGGGTATAGACCATATCTGCAACTGCAACGAGCCAAATGTAGGCAATGAAGGAAATGCCACTGTATGATGGTTTTCATCTAGAAAGTCACAGTTAGAACAATGGAGTAACATAGTAGCAGTTTTCTAGGTTGGCTTTCGAGACTCGAATGTTCAGTCCTAGTGACAATGGACGTATATTAGGCACTGGTGGTCTACAAGTTACCTCTAGCCCCCATTACGGTGCTTGTGGCCAAAATATTTATTCGTCACATAGTGAATAATCCTGGCGAGGCATCTAAGACAAATAGGAAACCCCTGATCATTTTTTGCACGGTGGTGTCAATTTGCTTTTTTAGCAGATTCATATAGACCGGGAGATGATTGGTCAAGTTTGCCGATGTTTTGGATCGGACATGGCCGAACGCTTCTGCGCGAGCTCCTGAGATACTTCAATTGGCGTCTCGATGAGATCGGGTTAGTCTGTGATATATCGAGGTAATACATAGATCCACCAAGTGGGAACGTGGGAATAATTTGCGGGGCCCCTTGGGATAAGTGGAATTTCCTCATTTCCGGAGTTCCATGACTGCCAAAAATAGAGCATCTTTGTCCATAGATACAAAAAAAAAATGGTAGACATAGTCATAATCCCAGGAAACAAGGTAGAAATATTGCAGTAGTTCGATAGCAGCAGATCTATGCCACAAGGAACAAATGCAAAGAAAAAGAGACAAACCGAATAAGAAGAACACCGCCGAGCTATGCAAAGACCGTGTCAGATGCCATCTGACGTTTTCCTGAACACCAAATCAGAGTCACCGAAGGTTCACAAAGAGGGGACCAGAAGATTATTCCGGGCTAAAGCAAATAGAAGAAGAAAAGCATGTGCAAAAGGTGATTCTTTTCAGCGGAAGGCGTAAGAAGGGCGAACCATTTTCGATACTTCTGGATTCAGAGAGAGCTGCTGGTAAGGCGAGCTTCCTGGGTCATAGTACAAACCTTCGATGTGCCCGTCCTCGCGGCGAAGAGAAATGTAGTAGAATCCAGAAATTGTAAGACCTTGACGAGCATCGGTTGGAGTGATGAAACATCGTTCTAGGGCATGTTAGCAAAAAAGAGAATATACAGTGGAATAGTACATGATCTTCAGCTACTTACCCTTCCATCTCATCAAAATCCATCCCTTGGACAATTCCTCGGTAATCCACTTCCGACTCACGAGGTTCTGAGCCATCTCAGCGTCTGTCAGATCCTTGAACGGTTGCAGTTCACGCCAGTATGTGCTATCAATGTCTGTATCTGCTTTGAAGTTCTTTGTCTCCAGCGTGTGATTGTTGAAATCAATGATCTCACCCTCCAAGAAAGTCACAATGTGTGCATCGTGGGTGGGCGAAGTCTTATCAGGGATGTTGTAAGCCTCCATAGTGCCAGATAAAGTCATGTCCTCATGATTGATCTGGTGTATCGTGACCTTGACAGGCCAATTTTCGTCGCGGTTGTTAGCTAAGTAGCGGCGGCCACTTGTGGTAGAAACGCTGATTCGAGTGCTATCACTTCCGTTTACAAAGCCAGGCTCACTGGGGGCATTCGGACTGGGAATTCGTTGGGACAACACTGAGCACCCGGCACTCGCAGCTCGTTGACAGCCCGAAAAAGCCATTCCAGATCGAAGCCATGAGCACTCCGCAGGTGGTGCAATGTTGGGAGTGTATAGAATGAAATCCGTATCTCTCCAAGACTTGTTGTCCATTGAGAAGGATAGCCGACTATCCGCCAAGACAAACATACTATCTTCAAGAGAGGTTGAATACCGAATGCGATCGAGATAGTGGATGGTTTCCCCCAGCACATTGCTCATATATGTGTCCGAGTGTAGCTGGCGATGAGCGGCAGCCCGAGCGCGGAGGTCATTGTGGGTGATGCTGGTATGATGTGAGTCGCCGCGCGCCGTAGGTCGATAGCGGTATCCCCGAGATGCGACCGCTATTGTATTCCCAGCGTCCTCCTCTGGAGTGATATCTGAATAGCGGTCGATGATGTAGTTTTCTAGTGTGCGGCTTCTTGAAAGCCGGGGCTGACGCCTTGCAGACTGTAACAATGCCGCCACTGCAGAGATCGATGTCCGAGCCTGGTTGTTGCCAGGTAATGTGGTATACTCGTGGGGTATCTGTTGCGCGGGGCCCGGGGCCAGGATCTCATTGCGCGGAGGTCGTGCGGGGGGTGCCTCACGGCTTGAGATGGAATGGAGGAAGGGCTGCATCTGGTCATCATCCGAGTCATCGCGCGCAGCACCATCCTCATCATCAGACCCGGGTGCCCATCCATACAATGATCGTGAGTTGGGCACTTGGCCCTCGTAGTTCGGCATGTCAGTTGATCTCTCCTGGCGACGGACAATCGGGATGCGGCGGTTGAGTTCAACGGACGTGCGCGGATTCGTGGGATCATCAACCTCCATGCGGTCTTCGTTTTGCGGTGGCGGGTTGGTCGGATAACGACGGCGACGCTGTCGGCTCAAGGAGGGTAGTAGCGGATTGAAGAGAGCTGGTCGCGATCGCAGGAAGTTCACGTTGTCATCGTGGGCGTTATCAGTCTCCACAGGGGCAGGTGTGGGAATCGACGATCGGCGTGGAGTGTCAGGTGCCGCAGGCGTCGGAGAGAGTGGCGTGCTATGCTAGAGAATATTAGTTTCCATATTATAGAGAGTGAGGGACTGCAAGGATGAAACATACTGAGTTAGGAGGTGGCATTCTGATCGGAATGCGCCGTCAAGGAGTGTGCGGGATCGACGCTGGCCATACAAGGCCAAGAACTAAGATATTTATAGCAAATAATTAAGTCTAGGGGAGGATGTCCACAAATTGAGATCGAAAAAGTGTTGGATGTTGTGCTTCTAGGACTTTGGAGATGTGGAGAGACCCGCAACATATGACGTTCTTCCTTTCAGCCGGCCTAAGGCCGCCTCTGAGTGATTCTGTGAACCTCATTGAACCTCATTGAACCTCATGGGAATTCTAGTCTTGATTTCGTACTTGTGCTTTTTAAACTGTATGCATATATCTGAGCAAAGTCATATTCCTAAAATCTAGGAGAGTGGAGCCCCCTATCATCCTGCAAAACATCACACTAAGATTATGCTGACTGCATCTAAAAATCGATCTATAAAGGTCATTTTTTGTAAAATAAAAAGACCATCTCTATGATGAACAAGCCTCCGTCGGCTTGACATATCCCGGGGTAGTAACCCCCGATTAGCTTTCCAGGTCGGCAATCCGCTTCTTCATTGACTGAAGCGGGGAAACTAGCGTTTTCTCGGCTTGTGAATAAGCAGCCCTACCTTCTCGTGAGCTAGGGGGTTGGAATTTCCTGTTACTCTCACAGACCAGATGGGTTTAAGCCTCGTAAGCACCCTTTTGAGACCACCTTGAACGCCCTATGCAATCAAGGCTAATACCCACTCGGTGCTTCGGTATATATGGAAGTTTGTACAGAATCAGGTATTGGATTGTTGAATAAAAGCATTCACAAAAAATGCATATGGTCATATCTAGTTACCAAGGACAAAGGATAGACCTAGAATGCATTTCTTGGAAGTACAGCTTGGGACTATCTGGACATGCGGCAAACCCTGTTCTATAACCCATATCTGATCTTTATCAAGATGTTGTTCTAATCGGTGTAGCTATATGTGCAATTTAAAATCGAGGTCACAGTTTAAAGGGTTCACAGACCATCTAAAGAAATCAGAGCTTGCGTGCAGCATTGCAATCATCGGCTAGCTGGATACATTGTAGAACCATGTTCCAGAAAGCCTCTAGATCAACCCCCCTGGGAATAGCAACGCCGGGACCGTCAACAGGAGTAGCGATGGATCGCCCCAATTGACCTGTTGTGGATACATCTTTCCCATGTTGTCCATCTGTGACAATACTCAGAGCAAAACGCTCCCCGCCTTTGTCATCAAAAGCAAGAGCTTGATTAGGATGTTTGTTGGCAAAGGCTGGATTCAGCGTTGACAAGATCGCAGCCACAGCAAGGGGATCATGCAGTGGAGGCCCAGTGGTTAAACCAAAAGCTTTCTCATATGTGGCAGCGAAGAAATTGAGTAGCGCATGCAATATCTGTCGGAGGATAGTGGGTTCGTCGGTCGAGTGGATCGAGCCATGCAAGATGCGCGTTTGAATAGCCTGTGAGGCCAAAACCTGATGTGTGAGATCTAAGGCCATGATAGCTGTCTTAGATGCAAGAACGGGGTTGCTAAAGATCGACTCGGAAGACTCCGGGTCACACTATACCATCGCGTGATTAGTCGCGCTAGAGAGGGATGAAAAGGTTTGAAGACGTACATAGAAGTTGAACTCAGCCCATGGAGTCACATTACCAATTCTAGACTTCTCGCCAGGAAGTCTGCTCATGGGAGCATCGGTAAATCCTCCACCGATGGCACCACCCATGATGCTGAGCCCTTGGATGTGCTCAACCACCTCGGGGAATGTTGCAAACAACAATGCAACGTTGGTCAATGTACCCGTTGCAACTACCCAGGGGGTACCCTTGGGCTGTGCAAGAAGGGCATCTCTCATAGCCAAAATAGCGTTCTTATCGGTGATGGGTGCTCTAGTGGCCTTGGGAAGGAGGTCAGTCCCATCAAGACCAGACTCGCCTAGAAAGTGTTATTAAACCGTTTAGCTTGCAAGGAGAGCATTACCTACCATGAATATCAGGCGCATGAAGAGCAGGCCGTGCAAATGGCTTAATGCTGCCAGGATAGACAGGGACGTCAGGCATGCCGATCGCCTCCAGAACGCTGCCCGCATTGGCGGTTGTCTTCTCTAACGATGCATTTCCATGGATTGTACTGATTCCAAGGAGGTTCAAGAATGGATGATGAGCGGAGATCAGAATCGCAAAGGCATCCTATCTCGTATTAACAAATATCCCTCTAGAATGCCTTTGAGGCTTACATCATGACCTAAGAGCAGTCAGTAATACGAAGACAAGAGAAATGTGATGGACTGACCAGGGTCGCAATCCAACCACAAGGGAGTAGGACTATATTGATTAACTTGGTCTAACATGGTGTATATCTTTGAACAACAAATTCAATTGAGAATCAAGAGGCCACTTGGGCACTTAAGTACATTTGGCCGGACATAAACAGATCCCCGCATCAATGGAGGGAGATAAGGCTTTATCTTCAAGCCCTAAGCCCTATGATCCTAATTAGGCCATGGTACAAATCATCAACGCTTCCAACGTTGTCCTGCTTCTAACAGAGAACAATCTGTTCCTTAGTAGCTATTGAACCAACTCTAAACGTCTATGAAATGAAATGAACGATCCGCTCCGCCCCGGTCTTCAGCCGATATCTCATCTCAAGGCTGGGCCGACAACCTCCAGCTCCAGATCCACCGCGCTGCCTTCCCCGACGACGCTTCAGCCTCCTTCGCGTCCTTCCTCCCGACTCCGTACACAAAGAGAGTATGGCAAGGACGACCCGGACTCTGGTAGCGACAAGGCCACCACTGCCCTGATCCGACGCGTCCTGTGCCCCCAGACAAGCAGCTACGGAGCATCTTCCCCACAGCCTCCGGAAGAGCTGTTACCTCCCCTCACGAGCTCCAATGACGTTGATCGTCAACTCTACGCCCTTCTCGCCATTATTATAAAAGAGTTTGTTTACTCGTGGTACTCCAAGATTACCCCCGATCAAGCTCTTGTGAATGAAGTTCTACAAGTAATCGCGCATTGCACGCGTGCACTCGAGCAGAGGCTGCGCCAAATCGACGTTGCACAACTAGCCCTGGACGAGATCCCTGGCCTGGTGGAAGCACATGTACTCTGTGAGACTTGACCATCTTAAAGTTCTTCTTGTCGGAATCCATGGTGGTTCCGCGGAGAGGGGACACATTGCTGACTATCTGATCCAGCGTACAGACTTGCCAGGCAACAGTCACATCTTTCTGGCCTACCGACGTCGTACCGTACGCTCTATCATGAGCTAAATCCACACCCAGGTCTTTCTCCAGTACCTGATCCAGGAGATCCGGATACGATCGCCGAGCAGATTGAGAATGAAGCAATCTATCGGAGACTACTCGCCAACGGTATCCTAGCTGTTCTTCTTCCAACGGAAGACCTTGAGAACAGCAGTCTCCGAGCGCTAGTGGTAGATGTTATATCAGATCTGATCCTAGGAAATCAAGTCAGTGGTAGGGCATGCGAAGGATGGTTCATTTGGGAAATTATAGGCAAACTCGCCGCTCAAGTGGGACGCCGTCAAACCCAAGATGACACAAAATCCGCCCCGGACTCTCAAATCAACCGATTAGAGAAATTCGGCTTGCTTTCAACCGATGATGAGCTCCCAGACCAGCCGCCGGCGTCATTCTCGGCCACCGCTTGGATATGGAACCTTCTGCAGATGATTTATCTTGGTTACGTCGTCTTGCGTTTCATTGCCATGGGATTATTTCGTGTTGCATCGAGTCCAGGCCCCTCTTCGCACGGTGTCGGTGTTTCACCTGCCTTACCTATCAACCAGAAAAAAGATGGCATGGAATCGTCAGAAGGCATTACAAGTAGGCGCCCGGTTCTCGACTACCGAATGTATTCCATGGTTTCGCAGATACTGGGAATCTCATGGAGAATGCCATGGCTGAGTGGCTTGCTCGCTCTATCCCATCACCTTATTTTGGAAGGCCCAGGCAGGGTCGGTGCTACGGACGGAACCTTTGATAGGTGAGTTTTTGTTCTATTTTTTCTTTTATCTCCGGAGTCTTCTCCTTCTCTGCAACCCCCTCAACGCCCCAACCCTCCTTTTCGAGGGCTCAGGCCTTAGAAATCAATGACTGTGGAGCAACGGTACGATCTCCAAACACGATCTACGGGTCAAGTGTCACTTGCGCGAGTCAAGGTGGGACATGAAGCGGTTTGCTCGCATGCTGCGTCGGTCACTTGATCTGTAACATTGGAAGGCCACATTACCTGTGAGAGAAATTACGGTCATCTTACGACCTTACGAGGTCTTTTTACTGTACGGTCATTACCGTCAGACTTACTGGGCTGTTCTGGCATCAGATTGGTTACCCTCAAATTGGTCCGAGCGAGCTTTTTTTTTTTCTTTTCTTTTCTTTTTTTTTTTCTTTTCTCCTTCCAACAGGGGATGACCATGGATTGTCCACGGATACCCCCGTCGCTGAATTTCCTTGAGACAAAGAAGTCCCTTGTGTGTGATAGCGCCGGGGCCCGGCCCTTTCCGTACCGCTCGTCCACTCTTTTTTTTCTGTTGCAAATCTTAAGATTACAACATGTGCCAACTTTCAAAGGATTTGGTCCAAAAAGAGAAATGAGACCGCATCTGGACGGTGATCGAACTCTCGGCAAGAAACGTGCACGAGCGAAAGAGAAGACGAAAAAAGAAAATCGTGCCGATCACCCCATCGGTGGAAGTGAGAGCCATACCCCTTTTGGCGCAAAAAGAAAAAAGGAATGGCCGTCGAGGCTAGTGAATTACTGGTTTTGATCCAATGAGCGAAATTCCTACGGGGAAGGATTTGAATTCGTAATCTGACCGAGGTTCGTGCATGAAGCCCGCTTGTGCTCCAGGTACGGGATGTTACCCGCTGAAGAGGGGAAGTCTGGTCGTTTTTTTGTTTTCTTTGACATGAAAGAAAATGATATCCCAGTCCCTGTCCTGGCCCAAGCTCCTTCATCTCTCTGCCTAAGCCGATCTTGCTCCGCCTCACCCCCACTCTATATGGTCAATTCTTATTTGATGACACCTTGGAATTTTTCTTAACTAAAATATGCGCGAGGGCCAAAAAAAAGGCACAACGTCCCGGAGAGCTCCACAGTCGACATTCTTGCTTCACTTTTTTTTTTATTTTTTTTTTATTGATTTTTCTTTTTGGGACTTGCCCAATTGCACCGACGTCATGATTTGAGAGACCTTTGCTAACTCCCATAGATTCCTCCGGGAGACCATTGAGGAGTATGTGCTGACCCCCACTTTGTTGCCCAACCTTCTTCTTGCGACGAGGACCGCCTTGTTCCCAGCCAATACCCGTCCAATATCTCAGATAGCGGCCGGTCATATTGAAGCTCCGGCCTCGGCTCTACAGTCTGTGCAGACCCCGACGCCCAGTCAGAAAGTCCTCGCGCCCTCGGCCTCACATAATGCTCCTATTGTGGAAGGAGTCAGGGGCTCTGATGCCGATGTCCTTAATAAAACTAATAATCCGGGGAACAGCAGCAGCAGCAACAGCGGCAATACTGGAGGGGGTGCCTCGACAACCAATACCTCAGGTCCATCACTTTCTGCCATTGCAGCCGATGTCCCAACACCAGAGTTTAATGACCCGGCCGAACCGGCAAAAGGGAACAGCCCATCTAAGTCGGAAATCGCCGCTATCAAGCGGCGATGTGCAGCTAGTCTCCTGGCCCTGATCCCGCGCTCCGTCGTACGAACTTTCCTTGGTGTTCCCTCGTCGGCGCCTCCGCTGCCCTACAGTGGTGATGGTACCTGCAGCTCCAACAGTTCGCCCTCTCTCGTCACATCCCCACCCCCTTCCCCCGGTGCGCACCAGAAATCTTCCCAGGAGGGGAAGGCAAATCTGGCGCCATCACATCCGCCTTTGCCTTTGGGTCCCTGTCCAGTTGGGTGTGCTCAACTTGCCGCTGAGCGGCTGCGCACAGACGATGATTCATCTGCGGGGGTTGATAGCGAGGAACTACATCTCCTGGAGACAATCGAGAATGATATTCTAGACCTTTTTGCAGATGAGTACTGCAATAAACATCTAGTCTGGAGTATTATCGAGACAGTGCTAGCCAAGGTACTTCCTGAAATGACTGAGCGCAGTGTTGAGGATTTACTGGAGGATCGTGGAGTGGCGTCAGTGCCGCCTGCATTTGTATAGACTTACATATTGTTTGCGGGTTTTTTTATTATCCAGACCCAATTAATGAGATATGCCCTACTTTATGACTAGCATAACTTCCAAACTTAAAAATAGTGTGATTGTAGAAAGATATCAGGGGTATAATAATAGGGGGAAAAATGAATCTGACATGGTTCATATATAGGTGAACATAATGAAATTCCGCGTGAGCAGCCAAGGTTTTAAAAAGAAAGGGGAAAAATTGATATGAAAAGAGCGTAAGAAAGAGATGCAGTACAAGAGAGAGAGGGGTTTCAAGGAAACAGAATGCAAAGAGCCAAAAATGACAGGGGGATATAGCAAGCCAACAGCAAAAAAGAAAAACAAGTAAAAAAGCAAAAAACCCGAAGAAGAAAGCAAGCGGCAAAAACTCCCAAGTCCAAGTCCAAAGCCGTATACCATCACATATTGCCATGTGCCCATTATTCCCATATGCATCCACCTCGTCCAGACTGGGAATCCCAGGGCGTGTGCGCCTATTCCCAAATCCGTAACCCCAAGAGTTCCAAAAGTAGAGGTCGCCCTCTGGATATGTGTATGTTTTTTGTTTGGTTGCCCAGGTTTTTTATCTCGTTGCCATTGCTGGAGAGATAGGAAATGGATATAAAGAAAACATTGAACGTTCGTACAAATAATACCAAAGAAAATAACAGAATAGTAAATGAACCACCGAATGAAGGAAAGGAAGAAGAGAATGGGGAATCACGAATCATGAATCAAAAGTAAAGCAGATAATGTTAGGGAAGGGAAGGAGGGAATGCTTCACGACATAATAAAACCAGCGATGCAAAAACAAAGGGGGGAAATAAATGCAAAAAAAAAAAAAAAGGGAGGGGAGATATGCAAAATGCAAGTTGCTCAAGGACTCATGCCAAATTGTGGATGCTCCTCTTTTTCGTCACACGCTGGATGGGAATATCCTCATGTTCATCAATGCGCGGCAAGCCACCCAACAGAAACCCTGACTGGCTCTTGGCAAGGTCAAGTCTCTCCATTAGCTTCCCGATAGTCATGTACTCCTGTGCGGCCAGGCCGGCAGGCTGATGGTCGAAGTAACTCATGACGAGTTCCAGGGCGCGTCGAGCCTCGTCCTGAGTTGGTGATCCTGGAGAGCTGACGGGCGAGGTAGTAGTAGA